TTCATAGTTTTTTACTTTGACCTATCGTTTTTTAAAAATAGGGAAACACAAATAGTTATTAACTTAAAAAAACATATTAATTTTTAAACCTATTCTGTGTTTATAATTTATATAATTATCTAAGGATTTATAATAAATTAATATTAAAAGCCATAATGTTTAATAATCGGTTTGTGGAATAAGTAAAATTGTTTTTTTTATAGATATTAAAGACCCTTTTCACAAAAATAATAAATAAAATTCAAATATAACACTTAGAAATGTGTGAGTAATACGAAGTTGTATTGAAATAAGAACATAATTGTTTGATTCAATAGCTTTAAAATTTAAGCGTAAAACTATTTAATGTCAGTGAAAACTCAATATTTAATCAAACATAAGAAATTAATTAGTATTTAAGTAAACAAGACAATAAGTAGTAGTTATAAAAAGATCTTAACGGTTATTGAAAAATACTATGTATAAGTATATTTATACATATATAATTTGAAATAAATAACATTTAGTAGGATTTAAGCTAAAGATCTAGTGAAATAAGATACACATGCTAAAGAGTTTACGTAAAATATCGAGTCATTGAATTATACCAATACCTGTAACAATTACACCACTGATGATCTTTTCAAAATAATTTTGATTCGATTTATTTATTTTTGAACACTTTATGAAAGTTTAAAAACAAAAAATGTAAAATAAGTGCACAATAAAAGTTTCAAATTCAATTTTTTTGGAGGTAATTTGTGGAAATCTTATAACCCTTTTTAGGTTCTATGAAATCTTACACAAGTTCAAAAAATATCATTTTTAAAAATAGGTTTCAAAAAGTTAGAGAATTTTTAATGATAGTTTTTTGTGATAGTGATTTTAATTACTGTTAAATATAATCTATACTTGTCCCAACCGTGCCGCGTCTCTACTGTACTGCAATTATAAGTTTTTTATTTGAACTTTTTAGTATTAAATTATAAGTCTTATAATTTACCAACAATTCCCTATTCATTCTTTAATTTTTTATTTGTAAATTTGTATATTTGTATTCTTTTTTCTTTTTAGAATATGTAATCACAACTTTAAATTAAAAATTGACAGGAAAAAATTATTTTTGTTAATTTTTCCCTACTTTTTTATTAACAAATTTTAGTGGTATACTATAATTGTGTTTGGGACATTTCAATATATTCAAATTTCTATTAATATATATGAAAAAAAAACTTAAAAAATTAAAAATTGATTTTTTGATTCAAACAGTAACGAGTTTTTTGGTATTATACGATGAATGTACAATTATTGGCACTTAATAAATACTGACATTTTTATATATACCTTAAATTAAAGCTTATATAATATACTTTAATATGAAAAAAAAATATCTGACTTTATTTTGTCTTCACGGTAAAAAGGCTACTGTATGTTATTTTTGTGTTAAAATTCTCAATTTTATGTTTTTTAATTTTATAGTGCTATAACTTATTGAAAAGTGTATGAATAAATACAATTTTTTTATGATAAATAATGTTTATATCCTTCTTTCATTCGACATACTTTATCTTAATCAGGATATAAATAAGGAAATAGAAATCATGTAGCTTTTGGAATAATCCAACAATTTTTTTGAAAATTAAACACTATTTAAAAATTTGCATTGAAGCGTTTTTTATGTAAGTGATTTTTATCACTGTCAGATATCATTAAACTTGACCCAACTATGTCACGTCACCACTGTGCTGCGACCCTCTGGGCTGGATTTTTTATTTTTTTCTTAAAACTACCATAATTTTTTATAGTGAAACATTAGACATTTCCCTTTCATTTGTTATCATTTTTTTGAAATTCTAACACTTAACTTTCTCACAAGGGCGGATTTAAAATAACAACTTTTTTACAAAAAACTAACTTTTTCAACTTAAATTTTGAATATGTTCTAGAAGTACTACATTCTTTAAACATATATCAAATCAAAGTTTATCATATTTATTAAAAAATGAATAAATAAATTTGTCCCGAAGACTTATCTTCTATGTGCAAATAGCTGTCGTAGTTAATAACATGCTATTTTTGTGTTAAAATTTTTTACTGTATATTTTCAACTTTAAATTGCAATAACATTTTGAAAAATGTATGTATCAACACAAATTTTTTTTTTATAAATATATTATATATATACTTCTTTCACTTGACATACTTTTTATTTAAATTAGAAAATTATCCTTTATACCAATGGGCGTTCAAAACTTGAAACATACGTATTTTATACGTATGTTTTTACTTTTTAAGTCGAAATTTTTCAATTTAACTTTTGAAAATGTTCCTTCATAAATCAAATTAAAGTTTACATTAAATACTAAAAGTTCAAAAAAAAAAAAAAAA